GACATACCTAAAATCCCAAGAGGAGAATATCTCTGTCACTCCACCAAGCGCACATATCCATAACAAAAATCTCAAAAAAAAGAATATCAGTCTTGATTGTAAATTAGTCATTAGGTCAACTAAAGTGACCCTAGAAATGTTAATTGGACAATAGAATCACTATACCGTTAAAAGGAAGCATCCTTGATTTTTCATTATCCTATGTGGATATTAAAAAAAAAAATTACTGGGACCAGTACGTGGCGTGGTGGTTAAGGCACTGGACATTCCCAGATGGGGGACCATGGTTTGAGTCCCGGACCTGGTGGCTTGCTGTCTCACTTTCCCTCTCTCTCTCTCTCTGTCTTTCTCTGGTCAAATTAAAATAAATGAATAAATAAAATTAAAGAAAAAATAATTCTTAAAAAAATTACCCAATAGACTTGGCCCGTCTGAAAAAGAGTTAAGAAAAATAATAGCAAGTTCTTACAGCATAAAAGCACCAATATGTATTCAGACAGTCAGGTAATTCTTACTTCAGCTTTACTGGATCTTTGGAGTCACTTATACCTTCTTTGATTAGAATTAGGCTGAAGAAAAGATGCCACTTTATGGTATTAAGTGATCCTTTAAAGCATGTAAGTGATTTGCCTAACACCTCATGCCAGGAAATACTAAAATAACCTCTGATACTTACTTCATTTTTATTCTACTGAATGAGATGCTTTTTAATTCTGATCATTTAGTTGTTTCTTTGGATGGATTAATCCTAAGAAAATGGGTTTAATTTTTAGTAATTTAATAATACAGTAATTTAAAAGTAATGTAAATAAACAAATGACCAAGATGTGACCCGAGTCAGTAGTCTAGTTTTTCTCAAATGTAAGGCTTGCATAAGACATGTATATTTAATTGGCTTAGTGACAACTGTGAAGATTGACACTTGGGAAGAGCTTTGAACATAGCATATGAAAGTCCTGAAGATGATTAATATAACTCACAAATAGCAGCCCTTTAAGACTGCAGCTGAGATTTAAGCTGAATGCCAATACTCTATTCAAAACCAAATACTGAGCAAGCACCAATCAGCTACAAAGTGCTCTGCAGAATAAACAAGTGTAAGTCATTGTCAACTTGCCTACCCTCACTGCTGAGAGTCATACTACTCTCAGAAACTAGCGAGGAGGTAGACAGTGGAATAATTATTCCTTTCCAACCATTTCATTCAATTCCTTCATTGGAAATCTAAAATGGATTATTTATTTATAATTAAAAATTAATTATCTAGAGAAGGTATATTTCTGATCTCAAAAGTGAGACATATGAATAATTATTAATAAGATTACATTTATAGACAATTTCAAAATACCAGCTACTAATAGTTTTTTTTTTTTAAGAGGTTTTTGCTATAAAGCACGTGCACTCGCCAGAAAGACAGAGAGAGACAGAGAGACAGAAAGCGAGAAATCACCCCCCCAGAGGGGATGGCCACGCTGCAATCCCTTCTCCTTCATTCTCCTCTCAGGATCTTGGGCACGCACGCTCACACTCCTGGTGTGAGTTTAAGCCACCGGGTCTGGGACTCAGACAGTGGTCGACTACATGGGAGTCCAGCAACATAGCCATTATGCCAACTGCTGATCCCACTAATAGGTTTAGATAGTTTGAATCACATATATGTATTTGATTTTAAATCACATTTTTGTAGGACTTTGCTGCTCAATATCCTGCATATAAATATACAGCTCAAGGTTTCCATCATTATTTTATAACAACTGAGCACACATAAAATAGTATGAATCACACTGCACAAATATCTAAAGACAGAAGTTTATTTCTTTTAGTTTATAAAGAATGATTTATTTAATTTCATTCATCATTATTATTGCTTTAAAATTTTGCTCCAGGGCATGTATGCTTATCAGAGAGAAAAAGAGGGAGAGAAAGAAACTGAGAAAGCATGTTGCCAGTTTCGGGACTCAAATGGTGGTCAGCCATGTGGGAGTCCAGCACCCCAACCACCGTATCATCTGCTAGCCCCAAGACAGAAGTTTTAAAGTACAGTTATTTTTAACTTAATTAATTAATTAATTTAGAGAGAGATTTTTGCTATAGAACACGTGTGCTCCCTGGAGAGACAGAGAAACAGAAAGCAAGAAATCCCTCCCCCACCCCCTCAGGGGAGGGTGACCACACCACAATCCCTTCTTCATTATCCTTTTGGGATTTTAGGCATGCACACACATGCACCTGGCATGAGTTTCAAGCCACTTGGTCTGGGACTCAAACCATGGTTGACCCTGTGGGAGTGCAGTGCCTTAACCACTATGCCACCTGCTGGCCCTCCTCTCCTGGGAAAAGATTTTGCCTGGCTTGATTTTCAAGCCACCAGGTCAAGGACTCTAACTTTGGTTGGCCATGTAGGATCCAGCACCTTAACCTCCATGCCACCTGCTGGTTTCTCTTTCAAACAATTTTTAAAGACCAGCCCCATAGCCTAGTGGTTAAGGAAGCTGGATCCCATATGGCTGACTGCAGTTCAAATCCTGACTCCAGCAGCTTGCAAAACACACTAGAAGGAACCAGCAGGTGGCATCATGGTTTACCATCACTAGACTCCTACGTAGCTGACCACAGTTTGAATCCCAGACCTGGTGACTTAAAACTCACGCCAGACACATGCACGTGCATGCCCAAAATCCTGAGAGGAGAAAGGAGTTGGGCTTGTGGTGTGGCTATCCCCCTTGGGGGGTGGGGGTGGTGAATTCTCGCTTTGTGTCTCTCTATCTCTCTCTCTGGTGAGTGTACACGCCCAATAACAAAAGTCTTTCTCTTAAAAAAAAAAAAGTACCACACTAGGCATGTATTTGTACCCCAAATATTCTGACAAGATGGACAAATGGAGATGAGATTGCAGCAGGACTGTATCCTATGACAGGGTGCCTTTCTGCCTCTCTCTTTCCAAAAATTCTCTGTCAGGTGAGTGTATCTGCTCTCTGGCAATGTAAAAAGAAATACATTTTTTAAGGACAATGTCACAAATTTGGCTTTTGAAAATATGTGTATTTTAGAAACTGAGTTTTGGAGGAAAAGCAGAAACAAAAGAAAACAGAAAATCATAATGAATCAGACTTGCACATTATCACCAAAATCCACTATGTTAATACAGATATAATAGTCACCTGACTGATTTCTCTTTAAACTTGTCATTTATGGGGTCTGCAGGTGGTGTGGCAGTTAAGGTGCTGGGCTCCCACGTGGCCTACCATGGTTCAAGTCCTGAACGTGGTGGCTTGCTTTCTCACTTTCCCTCTCTCTCTGTCTCTCTCTCTCATCTATCTTTGGTCAAATTAAGAAATAAAGGGACCAGCAGATGATGTAATGGCTATGTCACTGGTCTCCCATGTAATTGACCGTGGTTTGAATCCTGGACCCAGCAGCTTAAAATCCATGCTGGGAACATGTGTGTGCATGCCCAAGATCCCAAGAGGAGAATGTCGGAAAAGGGACTGCATCAAGAGCAATTCCCCTGGTGGGTGATTTATCACTTTCTGTCTCTGTCTCTCTGGTGAGTGCATGCGCCCTATAGCAACGATCTCTTTCTAAAAAAAAAAGGGAAGAAGAAATATTGAATAAAATTTAAAAATTTTTAAAAAGTACCTAATCTCCTTAAAAAAATTATCATTTATTATTCTGCCTTATAAATGGCATTAGCCTTTTGTTAGGACAGAATTTACTATCAATTTTGAAATTAATTCTGATACAAGGTTTAAACTATAAGGAGTATTACTCTTATAGGTTGTTTAAATATAAACGTTTCACAAAAAGTCCCAAAAGAGATTCTGTGTTCAAGATATGTTAAATTTATGTGAAACTTGATTCACAGATGTGGGTTGGGGGTTTCCAGAGACTTTGGGACTGTGATTCTCTCAGAATTTGCTTAGTAACATTAACAGTGAGCCCAATTAGTCCCCTGAGGTAGTGTCCTGAGTCATTTAAAATACATGAAGATTGTGATCTTGAAATAATGTTATGGAGGCAGGCTGTTATATGATTCTCATTTAATAAGCAGACATCCAGTTGCATTGTATGTTATTTAGAGAATGGTTGTGTGACTAGAATGAGGTTCATCAATTAAGGCCTTGTAACGGTTAAATTTATGTGTCAACTTGACTGGGCTACAGGTGACTACGTATTTGGACAAATATTATTCTGAATGTTTCTCTAAAGGCTGAATGGGATTAACATTTAAATTGCTGCATATGAGTAAAGCAGATGCCCTGCCTAATGTCAGTGGGCCTTGTCCAATCAGCTGAAGACCCGAGTAGAACAAGAAGATTTCCTCTCCAAGTAAGGGAGCATTCTCCAGCTGACTGCCTTTGGACTTCATCTGCAATACCAGCTCTTCCCGCCTGATGGAAGGCAGTTCCTGCCTTTGAACCAAACATCAGCTTTTCCTCGGGTCCATATCACTGGCTGTCCTGCAGATTTTCGATTTACCACCCTCCCTAATCGCATGAGCCAATCTTTACAATAAATCTCCTATTGGCTCTGTTTCTCTGAGAACTCTAATCTGGGCCAACCAGACTAAATCTGAGCTAAGGCTATCGAGTCATCACAGGTACTTGACAAGGCTATCCTCACAGGGTTCTAATATAAATATCTACAAAGCAACTTCCTCTCTTCGCAGTCCACACTCTCATAACTGAATTTCCCGTAAGCTGATACTGTAAAATGCGCTCACTCTGCACGTCAAGGACCTCACATTCAACAATGGTCACATCATCACTGTAAGTGCCAAGTGTAGGCCCCTACCTGGATGCCAGCTTGATTTGCCAGGGCAGTTTTCCCTCTCACCACCTTGATGTACACACCTCACCATCTGAAAATGCAACACCATCCTAAAACCTCTTTGCAAAATATTAATTTTTTTAGATTTACTAACAGACTTTTTTTCCCCCCCAATTACCATGGTATCTGGTTCATTTTTAATGATTTAAACTGAGGAATGACCGCAAAAGTGACCGGGGAAAATGTTTATTTATACACATGCTTTCCAAAACTAGAAACCTTTAAGACCATCTGAGAAAGCTATAGAGTTGAGGCACAAAGTAATCCTTGTAATGTCTGTCGATGAAACCTTTGCCACTGTTGTGCACAAACCAGCAGGGGACATCGGTTCCCAGCACGATATCCGTCCTGTAGTCTTTCTGAACGCCTCTGCAAGGGAAGCCAGATGCATGGTTAGGGACCAGACCAAGGCATGGCCTGCAGGGCATATTTGGAAGCGAGACACCTCTTTTCCTAGGCTCTTCTTTGTGCCCTTTCTGTCCCTATATCTGCCCATCCCCACCTGTCCCTGCTCCTCCAGTCGTATGAAACATTAGACTCTGGGCAATAGTGTTGGAAGGACAGAGAATAAGTGGTATGTCCTGAGTAATTCAGATAACCCTCATAGAGGCTGACCCATCTGGATCTACTAGTAAGGTAAAGAGCATCAAAGAACTCAAATGGAAAGAAGGCAGAAGCAAAACTCCAAAGTGTTGTAGGCGAACTTCACACATTACCTGAAGAGTGAATCTGAGGTGCCTCTTATGTTACCCTTGTAGGCGAGTGTTTTATTTAAGGACAGTGCCAACTGTTTCTGAGAAAATTCATGTCCTCCACTTGAAGGACAAAGAAGCCAATGCTTTGAAAATGTATCTAGCATATTGCTATTAGTAAGCCTTGAAAATACAGTCCTCCCTCAGTAAGGGCTTGGGGGAGTGGTTCTGGAAAACACTGTGGATACCAAAATACCATTTCTGTCAAATGGTCTAGTATTTGCATGTAACCTATACATATCATCCTGCATATTTTAAATCATCTCTACATTACTTGTAAGTGATTTTTTTTTCCCTTAGGAGGTTTCTTTTTTTTTTTTTTTTTTTTTTTTTTTGAGGGGTTTTTTCGTGACGGGCGGGGGTGTTACACAA